TATTTTACGCTTGTATTTTGGGGTACCTTAGACATATGATTTATTTTTACTTGTATTTCCCATTTAACCCTTGTATTATGGGGTGCCTTAGATTATAGGATTTTATTTTATAGCTAGGATATTTTATTAATGTTAGAAACTAGGCCTAGACGTGTTTTTGAGTGGCATTGAATTTATTTTTGGAATTGGCAAGGTTTAGGCCCAAGTGGAAGGCACCTAGGTTGCATGGTCTTATCATGCACCTAGATGTAGCTTAACCAAACCCAGAGATTTCATCATTGGCCATCAAGTAGCATCTAGGGTTAATTTAGGTTTCACTTGAAGTGCATTTGGCTTGCATTTTTTTGACCATGCACTCTCAAATGCAATCTTAAATTCATCCTCCCTTCTATAAATACCCTAGACTAGCCTCCTTGTAAATACTTTGAAAATTAATATACAAAGAGCCTTTAGTGCCATTATATTTTCCTTAGTCATCCTTAGTTAAATTCGGCCATCACAATTCCTATCTCCATCCTTGAGAGAAAAACCCTAGAAGTGGCCTTCATCACCCATGGAGTGAGCCAAGTACCCTCTCAAACCTTTCATCAAACACTTAACCTCCAACCTCCATTTTCATCCATTTCCTCCATCAAAGACGTCCCTTGAAGAACTTTGATCCAAGGAGTCAAGTTATCCTTATCATTGATCTTCATTTCTCCATCAATGCTAGCAAGGATGCCATCAGACATGGTTAAGCCAACATAAACACGATTAAGTTAAACTTTTTTGTGACTAGGTCAATCTTTGTTTGATTGCACCATGGTATTCAGTCATAAGTCAATTAGAGTGATGAAACTAGTTTGAAGTCTTTTTCATAGACCCTTAAGTCGATATTCTACTCATAGATAATGTCAACTTTAGGAGAATTGGTTGGCTTGAAGGCTACTCCAGAACAATAGTCCCATAAGTTGATATTGTGCTAATGTATAATGTTGACTTTAAGTAAATTGGTCGGCTTGAGGCTTCTCCAAAACACCGGCCATCTTTGACTTACATGTATTTACGATAACTATTGAGAATATTGCTTACCAAAAACTGTCACAACTAATAAAAATTCTCATTACCAAATCATTACAGATATGCTGATGCATTATTTCAAGTATTTCCTCTAGTAGTGTTTGCATTGGAATTCAAACTACGAAAGCTAGATCAAACTACAAAGTCTTTACATCCATATAAGAACAAATTAAAATCTTGAACATTAAAATTTCCCTCCAATAATGTGAAGGATCGATGTATATTCACATTGAGATCAATCTCTCTTCTATTAAACCTTTATTAAGTATAATTTCACTAAAAATTAAGCAACTTTTGGCAATCTTTTTTGGTGGTCATGGTTGTAGAAAAAACGAAGAGGAATCGTAGAAAGTGTGTCTTTATGTGTATCTAGATGTTTTACTTTCTAAAGCACAAAATTACATTTGTCCCTAGTTGATAGAGCACTGAACATAATCTCAATCAAATATATTTTAATTTTATCCCACTTTTCCGTTTTCCAATTTCACACCATTTTATGATGCCCTACTTTCTACTTTCTACTTTCTAGGGAATTTGATAAAGCTTAGTTACTTGTTTTAATTGAGATTTGTTGCCATTTTAAATAGCATTTGAAACCAATATGAACAAGCTATTATTATAATAAAAGGTGGTTTTCTTTTTATATTATATTATTTGTATTATTGATAATAGCAAAGAATATATTAATATCTTACTTAAAAAACTTTATTTATTTTAATATATTAAACTATATATCTAATTTAAATATCAAATAAAATAATACTTTAGTAGATATTAAATTACTCCTTTGTGTGTAACTTCATAGTTTCAATATTAAGTAGTCAACAATAATTAATCAAATTAATATTAATCAAGGTAAGCCTTCTTAACATTATGATAGTAGGAATGAATACTTTTAGTGATTGTGGCCAAAGTCCAGCTTTATCATATAGCTCAAACTTATTTAATAATAGTTGATAAATTTTTTCTTGATTAATAATTAATTTTATAAATATTTAATTATATCCAAAATTGATTTAACTAGTGCTTTAAGGCATCACATGTCCAAAATGAAAATATAATAAATAATCTTATTAATTTGTTTGATAATATCGTGCGAAAGAAAATTATTACATATATTTTTCTTGAGAACTTTATTGACAACATAAAAGTAATGTTAATTATTAAAAAAAAATTAACTGAGTTTAATTCATTTCGCATCAACATGCATTATCTTTCTCTTGATATAATTTAATGAATAAGATATATTGATCTTTATAGATCCATATTGATAAATTCGAGTTATTGTTATCATATTTACAATAATCTTATGATAATAAATGGTTTAAATTAAAATTATAAAAAAAAAAAAACTTATTTCTTGTTATCATAATCTCTGTCATGATGATAAGTCTCTAATTTTAATTAAAGGCCTTATCAAAATAATTATTTAACAGATTAATAATATGATAGTGAAATAATCAATAATATTTTATTAAAACTAAAATTGATCATTGGATCTTTGCGATACATGCTAATCCCCAACAATAACAACTATACAAGACTTTACGTATTTGCATGAGTTAAGGCTTACGTAATTTTATATATTCATAAATTTCTCTCGTTATAGCTTGTAAATACACTTACCAAATTGACTTGGTACAATGGTACTCATCAACTTTAAGTATTCTTCCAAGGATCACATTTTCTCAATGTATATTAGCGGATCTAATCAACAAAATGACAAAAGTTTATCGCAAAGCATTTATCAAGCATTTCCCTTGGATTCACTCGAAGACATGTTTTCCTAGAGTCCAAATCTGCTCGTAAGGGTGACGAAAAAATTGAAATAGATGAAATAAACTACATCCAACATGATGAGCCACTGAAGCAGGGATTCTGAGATACTTACAAGAAGAAGGAAATAAAATTGGTGCTGGCTAAGGATTCATAACGAATAGGGAATTGGTACATCTTGTGCAGTAAATATAATTGACACTAAAATAGTTGCATGGATTTTTTATTTTATGCTATATGAACGTTTTCATGCAAAAGCCGATAGATCACATGAATAAGATTCTGTTTTGAGATTTGGGCGTTTTCTCATAAATATGTAATTATAGTAATAGAAGTTATGCTTAATCCGTAGTAATCGATTCTACGTACATATCCATGTTGAACTTGTTATTGAACCGTCCACACCGTTGTGGCGGCTATGGAGAAATAAAATTTGGATATGTGATTTCAGTATATTGTGTTAATCTTGATTATTCATAGGGATAAAATCCTCACCTATTTATAATCTAAATTAATGACGAAAAATAGGATCATAGTTACCGTAATGGACGGATATGATTATGAGTTTGTAGGGGTACACGATTAAACTCCACTGTATTATTTTTAACCTTCGTAGCAAAATGAAAATAATCGATACGCGATATGCAGTCATAGTCTCATAGAGACTAATAAGTATAAGCAGGACCACAATTGAGCAATCCATTTTGATTTTGATTTGGATGTATTTTACTTGATAAAAAAAATTATGTTATCTAGTTAGGATTGTTATCTGAAAAGGGCATTCAAATATGTCATTATCACATTTTGTAGCGTAATTTGTGCAATGTTATTAGTAGGACACTTGGATGGCCAGGTTTCAAAACTTCACTAAAGACTTCCCAATATAATTTGGCTAATTATTAGATATTTGAGATTTGATGATGACTTGATGCAGTAAGATACCTCTGGTAAATTTGTTGTGAATAATGAGAAAAAATTTAGTAGATAAACTTAGATATCAATAATAAAAAGATTAATACAAGATCCAGTAGTGTTCATAGAACTTTTAAGCTTAGTTATCAACAAAACTACAATTTAAGATTTAGTAGTGTGCATAGAACTTATATGTGAGTATGCATCGAGTGTAACTTCTTGTTAACTAAAATGAGCTATAAGAGATTCCACCAATCATGTGTGTTATAGAACTTTCTTTAAATGAGATTTAAGAGCGCTAATACAATATCTAATTGTTTTTCATTAGATAAATCTGGGAAGTCAACTATTTAAACTATATGATTAAATAAATCATGGAATCGTACAAATGAATAAATCTCTCGAGAGTTTCAAGATCTTCCATATAGATTGTCTACATAAAATAATTATATTGCAGATTAGTTTTAATTAGGATGAGATAACCAATCTATATTTTGACAAACTAAACAAATCAAGACATTATCATCGACCACTTACAAACATATTGTTGAAATATATATAAACTTAATTTTGAATCTTATTGGTTTAAATAAAAGTTTAATTTCTAGAAACATATTATGGTCAATTTTATAAATGTATTATAAAAGAATATCTTCAAAAGATAATTCTAGAGTAGCATATAGAATTATTATTCTAGAATTATCTAAAGAGTATGTGAGTAGACTTAAGTTTTAAAGAGCATTCTAAAGAGTCATAATCATTAGATTAAAGTTGTGTCAATAAATTCTTAATCATCAATTTAGGAGTCACTAATATAAATAGAAGTGATATCTTAAAATTTATATGAGTCAAAATCAAAAAATATCAATTATATATATAATGCCTTCTTCTAAAATTTCTAATTTTTATTATTATTCTCAAATATTAACATCTTTCAAAACATCTAATCTTTATTATTCTCTTATATTTTTTCCGGTAATAAAGTTTTGTTCCAACAATAATGTGTAAAATATTTTTTTTTCTACTTTTCAATTACATAAAATAATACTCCTTAACATCAAATGGAATTTGTGTAGTAAATTAAACATAATATACTCTAGGTATTTCATGCGTTACAATTAGTATGAGTTTAGAAAAATTCCTCTTCTACAAATGAGATTAGAAATTTTTGAAATTAATTCAAACTAACATGTTAAAATTTTCAATAATTCAAACAGAAAATTAAATAGACCAGAACTAACGGTGGTACTCTAAACAAATGTCAAAATAAGATAATTATTAGAAATATAACTAAATACATATTGCAATCTTAAAGATGAAAGTATGCATCAACAACTTTAAAGTAAATATAAAGAAACAAGGGTATATAATCAATGTCTTATAGAGGATTCTTAGTTATAGGTTCAACATCTAGAGATATGTAGCCACATTGTTCTCAATTTCTTCTTTAGCTGGTTCATCAAATGCTTCCTCCCCAACATACAAATCTAAAATAGACTTACATAGGAGTTTGCTCTGGATGCTTCCCACCTCTTGTCCATCAACTACAGCAAACAAGATAAATTCCATAAATTTTATATAATCAATTTGGACTACAGTGTATAAGGGGATACCCGTAAGTTAGACTCAGTCCTAAATGAAGAAAGTATAAAAAAGAAACATATTCATAAATTCTTAACTGAATCTTTTGAATCACTATTAAAACTTGATTATTCCTTATTAAAAACACAATTAATGCAGGAAAAATATTTTGAACTTAATTATAATTCTAAAACTTCATATGGAAATGCATAGACATGAAGAAAGATGACTCACTCAATACACGAAGAACATGACCTTTCTCTCTTAAGAGATGAATTACAGATCCACGAGGTATTTTGTATTCATCTCTGAACAGTGAAGTGAACCTGCATCACGTCATGCCCAGTGAAGTAAAATTATAACATGCAACAAAAAATGATTTTCTACTTGGATGAAAAATGTTACATATCATAAATAGATACTTAGAATAAAATTTTCCACAGATTATCAAAGCTAATATTATAACAACAACTATTATAAAATACTTCTTTAAGTTTATCCTCATTTCTTCTTCTGTTTTGCATGCCAAAAGTGTCATTTTTTTCCATTAAAATTTATTTTTTCTTTCAAAATTAGGAGTTATGAAGCTTTACATTGTTATGTACATATATACCTAATTATATGAGAGACGTTTTTGTGTGAAAGTAAGATTCATTTCCAAATATGAAATTCTCACATGTTCTATACAAGCAAATAATAATGCAATAACTAAGTCTTTAACATAAGAAAATGAGATTATCAGTTGAAGGAAGTATTTACCTTTGAAGCAATTCTTTATTGTCCGATCCCCCAAACTTGTACAGTCTGCTTCCCACAGACTCTTCAAATACACTACGCACCTTAGGAATGCTCAATCCATCATGGATAATTTGAAGACTAACTGCCATGAATATATCATTTTCCATGAGGTCATCGGTAAACTCCTTTTTACCCTGTAATTTGGACGCAGAAAACTTCTTATACTTCCAAGAAAGATATTTCTTTATGTCCAAATCAGCAGCATAAACACCTGCACAAAATAAAGACACGATTTGTCCCCTAATCATTATCAATATTTGATATATATTTCAAACTAACGATTCCCTTTTCCTTATGAAAGTTATAGCAAATTAGCACATCAATTTATAACATAAAAATTAAGTTATACGGTAAACATAAAAATTAAGTTATACGGTAAAACCAAACAAATAGTTATACTTCATCGAATAAAAATAAATCAACCTAGATTTTTTTTATATTTATTATTGAGTTATCTCCAGTAGGTAAAACCAAGGCAAGGCAAAAGCAATTTTAAGAAGAACAAGAAAAAAGTGTTAGAGACAATATTAGATAAGAAAGTACAATCTAAATTGAAAAAAAAAATCTTTTGTTTATTTTCATATACCAAATGCATAAACATCAAAGCTGATGAATGGAATAAGGCTTTTTTTGCGCAAGCCAACTCCACAGAGTTTGAGCGAAGGGCCTAAGATAGAAGGGAAGGACACTCCGCTTCGTTTCTCAAGCACGTAAACACCATTGTTCTCCAAATTGAGAGACAAAGATGAGTGAGATGAGATGGAAGAACTCATAGTGAGAGATTCCACTCCGAAATTCCTATTCAATTAGAAGAAATAGTGATGAAAATAATGTTAAGGCACTGCATATTTAAGATGTAGTTGCCTTTGCACATAAGTTTTCTCGGTCGGTGGGCATAGCTGTAATGTCAAACCTTAACGTATTGTTCGGATATGATGATGTTGGGAAGAGAGAAATGTGTTGGAATAAAGTGCCAAAGTGAATGAAGATTTTGTTTGTTTGTGAAACAGAAAATTAAATGAAGAAAGAAAAATTTGGTGGACCCACACTGAAAAATAACTTTTTTCTAATTTGAAAGAAAAAAAGAAAAAAATATGGTCAGTCCATTAATTAAACAATTAAATGACAGTTTTCTTAATTTATGTGTATGATTTACAATGTATACATGCATATAAAAGAGATATATAAATTTACTTTTTTCTCTACTTTTGTTTAGATGATTTTATTTTAAAAATTTTAAATAAAAATAATAATATTATAAATTAATATTATGTGTAGTCGTTCAAATAAGTTGAATATTCTTAATTACTCAAATTTTTAAGCATCTTAATTACTTAAACTGAATTTTTTTTATAATTTTTAAATAAAATATAGAGGTATTTAGTGCCTAACTTCAGTGGTGTCTATAACTATTACACTTTACTATTTCTTTTTTGTTGTAACTTTTTTTAAACGAGAAAGAGACACTTTTAAATAATTACTTTTTTCTTATTTTTCCTTTTAACAAGATAGGGACAAAATGTCATTTTAGATTAATTTATATTAATATATAAAGAAAATACTTCTTTTACTATGTATATTATGCAAATTATTATATTTTTTTATTATTAAAAAATCTAATTACTTTTAGTAATTATTATTCTCTTTTAATAATTATTTATTCTATTATTTATATTGATATATAAAAACAGATATCTCTTTAGTAATTATCTTTTATCTTCATCTTCACATTTTGATAGAATATTATAACTTTCTATAAAAAAATTTTAAAAATATAGTTTTTTTTAGTAACTATCGTTCCCTTTTAATAACTATTTACTCTATTATTTTATTATTTAATAATCTCAATTTTTAATTTTTAATTTTTAAATAAAATATAGAGACACCAAGTATATCAATCCAATTAACAATAGATAAAAGGGATACTAACTATTTTAGTCTCTACATTTACTTTCTTATCTTGCTCTTAAAACATGTTAATCTATGTTAATAATATATTATTAATCTATTTTTATTAATATATAAAAAAGATATCCATTTTAGTAATTATTTTTAGTTTCCACATTTGATAGACCATTATATCCTTTACGATCAAAAAATTAATAATTATAATTTTTTTAGTAATTACTATTTCCTTTTAATAATTACTCACTTTATTTTTATTACTTAACTACCATTATTACTTAATCTTATTTTTTATTTTATTTTTAAAATTTTAAATAATGTAGAGACATAAAATATCTTCACTCTACTAATTAAGTAATAAAAAAAATTCTCTTATTTAATGTCCACTTTTATCTTCTTCATTTTACACTTAATAATTATACATAACTTTTGATAACTGTACAAAATATCATGATACATTTGTTATTCTCTTTTTTTAACGAGGACACTAATTTTTTTTTCCCCCACTAGTTATATAAATATGTAGATAAGGATAAATGCTTTTACAACGTATCTGTACTCTCTTTTTCTTATACTGTTTTTCTTATTTTCATTAAATCAAGCACTTTAAAAATTTATTTATGTTTTAATAATTTTTTATTTCTTTTTATTCTACTTATTTGTATTTAGAATTTTCAAAATCCAAACAAAATATAAAAGATTAAAAACAAAGCAAGTGTATATATAGTTAAAATAGTCACTCCCATTTTAGTAGATTAAGAAAAATACGAATTAAAAATATTGGAACTTGAAATGTATAATGTGACTAAACTCTACTCCTTATTACTCCTCATTAATAGTTATAATTTGTTTGCTTGTGAAGAGGATCGGTGTGATACTAAAATCAAAAGGCCTTCATCATCTCTTAAATTACTTTAGAAGTAGCAAATGAATGGTTAAGATAATTTTTAGAAAAATTATAATATATTAAATAAAAATAATTTATTAATTTACTTAAATCTATTAAAAATTTACATAAAAATTTAATCTATTTAATTCATTTAAAACAAAAATAAAAATCAACCATTAACAATTTTTTATGCATGGCTGTATATCTAATTAATTCATAAAAGTAATATTTTAAAAATTAATTGATTTTTATTTTTGAAATATTTTATTTATCTCTTTTTCTTTTTATAATTTATTATTTTCTTATATAATCTTTTAAAATTCATAAAACTTTTTTTTTATGTCAAAATAGTCTTTTAAAATTTAAATTCAATAAAAATATGATATTGTAATCCAATGAATTTTAAAAAATGGATGAATCACTAATCATTTATAAAATTAAATGGATGAGTTGAATTCAATCCATTATTTAAAAGACTTTTAAAAAAATAGTGTTTGCATGTGGTTTCTATTATCATCCTCGTCTCTTAGATGTTGCTCTTTATATTAAAGGAGTGATTCACTTTCTTCTTCGTATTCTTCATTTGAATAGTTAGTAATTAACAACTCTATAGATAGCTAAATTTTATAATTAACTAATTAAATATTATGTAAGATGGAACTATGTATTCTGTAACGACCCGGCTAGTCACTACACGCGGCATAGCACACTAGAAACACCAGACAGATAGAGCAAGTATATAAATATAGGATCTAGAATATATAAATATACAAAGTTTCAGTCTGACTAGAGTTAAAGTGTACAACAGATACATCATTCTATTGCTACACCGAGTAGCCAAACAACAAAAAGACCAACATCCTAAGAGGATTAGCTCCAACTGTCAGCTACAGCCCAACTACCAATCTCCAACCTATTCCTGCTCTGCTCCCATACATAGTATGATCATAATTTTTACTATTTTTTTTTATTAAAGTAAGGGGGAAGAGAACTTTATCTTTTTAAATTTTTGTATGCTATTATGTTTATTATTTATGTTATATTTTATGTGTATTTACTTAGTGAGGTGTTCTTAACCTCACTTATTTGCTTAATCTATGATATTTTATTTTACTCTTAATGACTAATAAAGTGTTCCTAGTTTATGTTGTTTAATTATTTTATAATGATTATTACTGTTATTTACTTGATTAGGACTCTTTAATATATTTCATTTAAGTAAATTATATTTTATTAAATTTTAAATTATTAAAAAATACTCAACTTATTTAGTGTAATTATATTTATATTAATATTAACTATAATATAGTTTTGCCAAAATATCTTAAATTCGTCTTGTTGTTATTTCTTAATGCATTTATAAAGATAAATATTATTTTATGACAAGCCTTATATGGACTTAAACAAGCTCCACGAGCTTGGTTTAGTCGTATTGAGGCCCATTTCATGAGTGAAGGCTTCGAGAAATGTCATAATGAATACACTTTGTTCACCAAGACCAGCAAAGAAGGTAAAATTTTGATTGTCAATTTGTATGTAGACGATCTTATATTCACCGACAATGATGAGTTTATGTTTCTTGAGTTCAAAAATTCAATGGTGCGTGAGCTTGATATGAATGATATGGGGAGGATGAGGTATTTTCTTGGAGTTGAGGTGCTGCAAAGGTATGATGGTATTTATATTAGTAAAATAAAATATGCTTTGGAGATACTATAAAGATTTGGAATGGAAGGTTGTAACTCTGTCCACAATCCAGTTGTTCTAGGCTTCAAATTGTTTAAAGATGAAAGTGGAGTCAAGGTGGATGAAACTTATTTTAGACAGATTGTGGGGAGTTTGATGTATTTAACAACGACAAGGCTTGATTTGATGTTCATTGCTAGTCTTATTAGCAGATATATGGGAAAGCCAACAAAATTTCATTTACAAGCTACAAAAAGAGCTTTGAGGTATTTGAGTGGAACAACAAATTTTGGGATATTCTACAAAAGGGAGGGGATGAGAGTCTCATTGTCTATGCAGATAGCGATTATGCAGGGGACTTAGAAGATCGAAAAAGCATATTAGGTTATGTGTTCATGTTAGGTTCTGGAGCTGTCGCTTGGTCTTAAAAAAAATAGCCCATTGTTACTCTCTCCACAACAGAGGCTGAGTTTGTGGCTGCTGCCTTTTGTGCCAGTCAAGAAATATGGATGAGGAGAATTTTAGAGAAGTTGAGCCAATCACAAAATAGTTGTACAACTATATTTTGTGACAATAGCTCCACAATAAAGTTGTCAAAGAATCCTGTACTACATGGGCGCAGCAAGCACATTGATGTGCAATTCCATTTTCTGCGTGATCTCTCAAGGGAAGGTACTGTTAAATTGGTTTATTGTTGTACACAGGAGCAACTGGCTAATATAATGACCAAGTTGTTAAGTCTCAATTATGCTTCTTTTTGGACAAGACTTATTCAACAGTTCCACTCATCCTTTGCACTATTGCAAGATAATTGTTCTCTTTTTGATTCATTAAATTCTTTACAAAGAGAGGTATTTGTGGATCCAAACACAATATCATCCACATATATTTGTACATACATTGTATCATTTTTAAATTTCTTGACAAACAATGTATTATCCACCTTTCCTCTTTCATAGTCATTCTCAATCAAAAATTTGCTCAACCTGTCATACCATGATCTAGGAGCTTGCTTCAAGCCATAGAGTGCCTTTTTGAGCTTATACACATGATTAGGATTCTTAAAGTCCACAAAGCCTGGTGGTTGTTCAACATACACTTCCTCTTGTATCAACCCATTGAGGAAAGCACTTTTCACATCCATTTGATAAAGCTTGAAATTCTTTATAGAGGAATAAGCAAGAAGTAATCTAATGGCCTCTATCCTTGCTACAGGGGCAAAAGTCTCATCATAGTCAATTCCCTCTTCTTGATTATACCCCTTAGCCACTAGTCTTGCCTTATTTCTTAGAATTATTCCAGATTCATCAAGCTTATTTCTGAAAACCCATTTGGTTCCAATAATTGGATAATCTTTTGGTAATGGCACTAAATCCCATACTTCATTCCTTTCAAACTGATTTAGTTCCTCTTGCATTGCCATTAACCAATGTTCATCTTTTAG